CCAGCCACAGGCGGCCATTTAAATTTAAAATAATTGAATGAAATTAGCAAGCTGAGTCCTCAGTTGCACTAGTCGCATTTCAGGTACTCAGTAGCCACGTGGCTGGTGGCTGCCGTGTTCGTACTGATGGAGAACATTCTTGTCTTTGCATACAGTTCTATCACCAGCACGCAGAGTGGCACACCAGTGCCAGGCATCCTGTGGTGGTCTTCACAGCCTTGAGTCACCCTGCTCATGGGTGTCATAGGCTGTCCACGTCCAGGTCCCCCTCCATGGCTGGTGATGCTGGGAGTTGTAGGAGTGTCTCAGTTTTCACAGTGTGGCTGGGCATCGGGTTGCCTCCTTCTCAGGCATTTGATTGTTTCAGCCCCACCTGGCCTGTGCCTGACCCCTGGGTGCTGCTGTCATTTACGGCTGTGCGGCCGAGTTCTTCAGTCCCTTTCATCTCACCCAGAAAAGAGCCTTGCTCCTCTTCTGCCTTGTTTAGGGCAGCCAGACGATGGGGCACTAAAGAGGTACCCGGGAGTCATGTTCCCTGAAGTCTTCTGTTTTGCCCCTGCAGCTCACAACACTGAGAGGAGCGATTTTGGNATTAACAGAGGTCGGGAGTGTTGCTTTCTAGGGTTCAAAGATCCCATGTTGGCCCCCTCCCTGAGCCTGCACTATTTGTCGGTGTGCTAGGCACCGTGCTGCAGATGGGCGGGAATAGCATGCGTTAGGAAGCCAGAAGCCGCCTGAGCCTAGTCCCTAGCCCATGGGACCAAAAGCACCACGGCCTCTGCAAGGCAGGATATGGCAAGACATCCTGGAGATGCGTATGTGCCGAGAGCGCTTTAGGAAAAGAGGAATTGACATCTGCTAGGCAGATCTCCTGAAGGAGGTGGCATTTTAACATGGTCTTCAGATGTGCGTAGAATTCCAACAGGGAGATGTGAGTAGCTGGATATTTTAGGAACTGTGACTAATCCAGTTTCTTTCCAAAGAAAATTGGAGGTGGTGAGGGGGGGATAAAAGTAAGTTGAGGCTAGAGGACATGAGACCTTGAATGCCAGGGTAGGAGGCGGTAGGGAGCCATCGAAGGCTTTCTGTTAGGGCGTGACATGATTGGAGCTGTAGTTTAGAAAGATTGCTCTGGTAGAAAGGCTGATAAGGATAGAGACTAGTGGTGATGTGGGACTCAATTATGTGATTACTGACATCGTACGGGAGATATTTAATGGTAGATGGGATTGGGATGATGGCCCAGCGGACGGAAAGAGGGAGGTCTAGTAAGTTTCATATGCAGAATGACTTGTAGGGGAAACAGAGGTGGGTGCCCAAGNGAGGGTTGCGATCCCGTTACCGGTCAGTAAAAAAGACAAAAAAAAAAAAGGAAAAAAAAAAAAACAGCAACCAAACCAAACCCAAATTCTGAACTTGAGCGGCTGATTTCTAAAGTGGAGTGACACAAGAATAGGCTTATGTGCTGGTGCCTGGTTACAGGAGAGCGGCTGGGAAGAACGTGCCACCCCCTGCAGTAGTTCTCTGCCCCTTTATGTTTCTAAGATATATTGGTTCTCCCTTTAAAATGTATCACTGTCCTGCACGCAGGTGCCCGGTGGGTGAGGTGTGTGGTCCCAACGCTGCTCTAGAAAATCCCATAGAGGGTCTGTTTTTCTCTGAAACCCTCATAGCTCTGCTCCATGGCAGGTGCCCCCAGGCAGGGGACTTTCCTGCCAAGTGCAGAGATGAGACATTACCGTCTGCCTTTTCCCAGAGCGAGGCAGGTGTTACGGTATCTGGGTAGCCAAACAGGCCCAGAAATTGAACCTAATCTAGGCGTTTTAAATGCTTTCAGTGAACACCTATGTACAATCTGCTGTCAAGGAATTCATTCTGCTAATTAGGTTTTGCTTTGAAGCAAGCCAGTGCATTTCATGGCTCTAGGTATAGTCCATGTGCTTTCGCTTCAGATTTTATATTTGCTTTCTTAATGGTTTTCAAGTTTAAACACAATGTAGCATTTTAACGTCCCCCAATGCTGAATGGTCTCTGGTTCCCATAATTCATGAAGAAAATACACTGTTTTTTCTCATCTCTGAAAGAGATCGGACAGCTGTTAAAATCCCAGTTTCTTTTTTTTTTT